TATCTGGAAAAGAACTGGGATGTGAAACAAAACTTAATATGTTTAGATCAATATTAAGTCAAATGATGTTATCTTTAGACTGTAACGATAAGAAATTGATATAGCTGATATGAAGCAATTTGGAGCAGGGGGTTAGACAATTGATAGAATGAAATGATTTAATTTTATATGTTGTATTCCTGAGAAAATAAAATTTGTTTACCAAAAAAAAAAAACACTGATGGGCTGGAGCTCCCATTAGTGGATGCCTTTATGTGGGCTCTCAGAGCTCAGTATGAAGACCCGAATGCGGGAGCGCAGGCTAGAGCATTCCCGCGAACCTTCAAGCAAGGAAAACTATCAGAGCGTATATAGAGGAGTTCAAGGCGTTAGGCGGCCAAGATCCAGGGCTGGCCGGATGAGGTCCTGGCAGAACAGTATTGACTGGGATTAGATCCTGAGGTCAGCGAGACGGTCCTGCATAGTGTCCCTAAATGTGTGGATTCATGAAGCAGCGGATGCTGAGAGATGACTGAGGACCATCAAGAGATGACTGAGGACCACACCCCCTGACATCACCGGAAGTATGTCATAAGGCCACACACACCACCCCCAACGGTCCCGGCTGCCGCCGCCGGCCTTACAGCTCTACTGCCGAGCCCCATGAGGGGCCCGGCGGTGGACCTGCAAGGCCGGCGGGAGTGCAAGGAAGCCCCGCGAAGGCCCTCCCTGGCCCCAGGCAGGCGGGGTGGGGAGAGGCAGGGAGGAAGCAACTTACCCTCCCTCTTCTCCTGCCTCCTCCTGGCTGAATGAGGGCCGGAAGCGGGGTGGCCGGAAGCAGGGGGCGGGGCTTTGTCATGTGCCCCGCCCCCCGTACCTCACCCGGGGGAACTGCGATCCCCCGCAATCCCCCCTGAAATGACCTCTGCCCTGTTGGGGCAGTTTGAGTACAGAGTGATGCCCTTCAGACTTCAAGGAGCCCCTGGGGTCTTCATGAACCTCATCAACAAAGTGTTGCACAACCACTTGTTCAAGGGAGTGATCGTTTACCTTGATGATATCCTGATTTATTCCCTTAATAAACCAGCACATGTCAAGCTGGTAAGAGGTCCTACAAACGTTACATAAGCACAAACTGTTTGGTAAGCTGTCCAAATGTGAGTTTAATTGCTCTGAGATTGACTTCCTGTGCTACCGCATTTCACAGAGGGGTCTGGAAATGGATCCTGCTAAAGTCAGGGATGTGGTGGGGTGGGGCCCCCTTGAACCCGGAGGCAACTACAAGCGTTCTTAGGATTTGTGAACTTTTGCTGGTCATTTCTCGCAAATTTTGCCTAGGTGAGCTTACTGCTCACGGATTTATTAAAAACCCAGTGGAAGGGACCGGAATGCACCCAACCAGGGGCTAGATTGAACTGGACTAGCAAATCCCAAGAGGTGTTAAAAAGACTCAAAGCCCTATTTACCTCCGAGCCAGTATTAGCCCACCCAAACGAACTCAAAAAGTTTACCGTGCAGGTCGACACATTGGAAGTTACGGGGGGGGGGATTCTGCAAGAAGGGGAGGCTGGGAAATTGCACCCCCTTGCATACGTGTCCCACAAATTTAATGACACTGAGAGGAAGTGGTCCGTATGGAACAAGGAGGCGGGGGCTATCCAGTTGGTGCTTTCTACTTGGCGCCATTCGTTGGAGGGGGCCAGAGGGCCTTTTGAGGTGTGGACTAATAATAAAATCCTGGAAGTTATGCGGACTCCCAGGGATCTGAATGCCAAGCAATTGCGGTGGGCTGATTTTTTCCCCAAGTTCAATTTCATCCTTCACCATTTTCCAGGGAAGTCGAACTCTCTGGCTGACGCATAGTCCCACTTCACACAACATGACAGTCAGCGGGAGGGTGTGCTCGATTCCATGTTCACGCCTTTGCAACTGGGAGGGGCGGTGACGACACGCAGCCAAGCTAAAGCCCAGCCTTCTTCACCCCTGGGGACCGGATGGGAGGAGAAATTTGCTTCTGCCTTTTCGGATGCTGATCGCCTCAAATTAAGTAATGAGGCCAAGGTGGTAGAGCGCACAAAGGGGTGTTGGTATTGCGGTTCAAAGTTGCTTGTACCTTTGGCTTTGAGGGGTGAGATCATGACCACGGTTCATGGAACTAAGTTGGCGGGACATTTGGGGTTTGTGAAATCCTTGCACTTGTTACAGCGACAGTTTTGGGGGCCCAGAATGCGGAAGGACCTTTCCCTATTTGTGAAGTCCTGTCAGACTTGTATTATGTGCAAATCCCACCCCAGGAAGCCCCTGGGTCTCCTGCAACCCCTTCCCACCCCAGGTTTTTCGTGGGAAGTTATCTCTATGAACTTCATTACTGACTTATTCCCTAGTAAAGGGAAGACTGTAATTTGGGTGGTAGTGGACCTGTTTTTGAAACGGATTCATTTCATTCCGTTTAAGTCGCTGCCGACTGCCTGACTCCTGGCTAAGGCATTTCTGCAACACATCTTTAGGCTCCACACACTGCCATGGAAGATAATCTCCGACCAAGGCTCTCAATTTGTTTCTAAGTTCTGGGGGGAGCTCATGGCACTAATGGGGGTGGAGAGGGGCTTAAGCAGCGCCTACCATCCAGAGACAGATGGACAGACGGATTGTGTTCATCAAACACTCGAACAATATCTCAGGTGTTTTACTAACTTCCAGCAAGACGACTGGGAGGGGCTTCTCCCCTAGGCTGAATTTTGTTATAACAATGCATGTCATTCTTTGACTGGTGTATCCCCATTCATGGCGGTTTATGGTTATGAGGCACCGCCTCTCCCATTCCTCTTGGACATTCCTCTCCCGGAAGGGGAGGTGGGTGACTGGTGCAAACGCCTTATGGAAGCCTGGCCGGTCCTGTGTAAAACATTCGATGCGGCAAAACAGGCTTACAAAACCCAAGCGGATAAAAACGTTCTGATGCCTGGGATATCCAGCCAGGAGACTATGTTTATGTGTCCACAAAAAACATTAAAGGGCTACAACCTAGCTGTAAATTGGGGTGGAAGTTTGTGGGACCCTTCAAGAAATCACGGAAAATCAATGATGTGGCTGTGGAACTGGTACTACCTAAAAATCTGAGACATTTGCATTCAGTTTTCCATTTCAGCCTTTTGCACCGTGATCTGGGGCCAAACATTTGGTGACCGCAGCAACAATGCCCCCCTCCACTGCTCGTGCAAAGTGAACCGCATCATGAAGTTGTTGATATTTTGGACTCTAAGCTAAAGCGGAATAAACTGTATTATTTGATTGAATGGCTGGATTTTGGTCTGCAACATGGGTGGCGAGGGAACATGTCTCCACCCCCCGCCTTATTAAACACTTTCATCGTCGCTTCCTGGAGAAACCGGGGGGAGGTCCTGGGGGGGCAGGATGCCAGGTAACCCTGTCATGGTGTTGGAATGTGGAGGGGGCATCTTCTCCTTCCTGCCAGCTCATTAAATACTTATCATTAAACACTTTTCTTTAGAAGCCTTGGTGTGTGGTGTGATCCTGCTAAGGAGCCTGACAGTACCCTAGCAATACGGTTCATTCACTATGCTTTCATATAGCTCCACACTATGATTTGACATTGTGTTTGACAGGCTACTTTGTTAAGGGGGGGGGGACCCCATGGAGAAAAATACAACTCTGAAGTTAATAGTTTAAAACATGACTTAATGTCATATATATTGTGGGCTTCCTACTATACTCTGGAACTAGCAAGTTGTAATGAATACTGGGATCCTGGAGGTGCTATCGTATAAGATGATGATACATGATTAGCTGTATTGTTAATAATTTCATAAGCTGAAAGATGCAGGCCTTTTCCATTTCTTGAAGAAATTATAGCCATTGTTTCTGGAAGTTCTGGAACCTACTTTTGTTCCTGTACAGGTTAATGTTTATGGGACTTCAGAATAATTATATATAGGGTTAAAGTCTTAGTCTCTTGCAAGTACCTTTGCTTGGTATTCTTCATGTGAAAAAGACATATACATCTGTCTCTAAACAGACGTGTTTGCCATGCAAAAGGCATGTAGTCTATAGGATCCCAAGTTCTGGATGCTTCTTCTATGTTTTGCAGTCGCTATTTAGATGCAAACCAGTATACTTAGCTGTTGTAGCAGCCACTTAGCATGCATGCTTGTTCATTATAAATTTCAAAATGAGAAATTGGTAGGAAGGAAAGCTCTAGTTTTCTCCAGTCTTGCGACTTGTAAATTTCCAAGTACTTGGCTCTCAAACCCATATGCATGCTTAAGTTTCTCTGCATTCACGTTGGGCTTCACCTATTTCCTCTTGACACTGCACCTGCTTGTTCTGTTAGATGCTGTGCTGGAGGGTCCTTCAGCTTTCAGAAACAAAGTGGGGTTGGGTGCAGCAAATGTCTTATACTTCCTAGTGCAGAGGAATGATAAGCATCTCTTCAGAAGTACTGAAGTGCATTAGAAGACTTGCCCCCAAACACATGCCAAATAGCATGAATTGACTACTCCATCCCATACTATGGAAGCACTTTTGTACATTGGAAATATCAATTGTTAATCAACATGCTTTGGTCTTTCATGAACTTGAAAAAGTTATGGATTGGATCCCTCAAACTCTGTATTGTTGGAGGGAGTTCATGGAAGCTGACGTTTGAGGATTGGGGAACTCCCTATGCCAAAGTGGTTTGGGGAACAGTAAAATTCTGCCAGATCCCCTATTCTATTCTTGCTCCGCTTGTGCAAGAAAAAGGGAAATTTTACCCAACTTACCTGCCTTACTGTAGTGCCCTGTGCTGCTTCATATTGCTCAGCAGGGTCTCCCCACCGTCAGTAGCTGCTTCAGGGACGGGTGCAGAGTGCAGCCTGGAGAGATGATCTGCTTCTGCAGACTCCTGTTTTGGGAGCTTAGTTCCAAACCCAATGTCCTTACTGAAATATTACCCTCAGTTAAATTTGAAGTTCCTAAGCTACATTAAACGGTGATATTGTGATTGTTGTTTTAAATTACAGGTAAACAAGTCAGAACCAAACTCTCTCAAGCTTTTAATCACTGGTTGAATGTTCCTGATGATAAACTTCAGGTAATTCATACTCTTCACTTACTTTGGGTCTGTTTAATAAGTGGCATTTATATTCCTCCTAAAATATTTTACATGAATATTGACTCCCACTGTTTCTGAATTTGAGTAAGTGGTGTGACACCCTTGTAGCCAGCCCCCCAGCCTATTGTGGTCTGTGCATACATGGGTGTTGCCTACCAGTTCAGAAGCGTATCATATTTCTTTGCTACTTTGCTACATTGGCTGTTTACATCTCTCTAATCTCTTTGTTCTGTATCATTTTGGGGCCCATGAGATAGAGAACATAAAAAATGTAGCCTGTAAATACCCACATTAATACTAAAATCACTAGGTGAGGTATAAAATGCTGCTGGGTTACCCAAAATGGGTGGGATGGCTTTAATTCAGGAAGCGAAGTACAGAAATAAGGTTCGTTTTAGCCAGCACTTCCCAAATGTCATCACATGTTCAAATCGCCATCCTTTATAATAACCTATTTCAGGGTTCAGTACTACTGCTTACTGTGCCCCTTACCTGGAATGCATCTCCCCCTCACACATCTGTTATGTTACAGGTAGTTCCATTGGCTTTTCCTACACTTTAGTAACTTCCTTCTGTTTGGTCTTGGAAGCCATACGTATATAATTGCAGGACTACATTACTACAGTGCCACTGTATGGCAGAGTCCAAAATATGTCTGTTCTGTTTCCAACCATTTTCTGAAACAGTGGAACATTTCAAGTTTTCAAATGGTGCTGTGCAACTTTTGAAATTACTTGGAGAGCAATGTGAGGGTTTTTACATGTTCTCTGTACAAGGTCAAGAGCAAGCCAGTAACACACCTAAGAGATGTTAAATTTTCAGAAATGTTGAAGCCACAGAAGAAAAAATGAGGGAGGGAATAGAAATGTTTGGAAAATTGGAATGTATGTGGCTTAAACTTATTTTACTGTTTTAACAAAATGCATCATAATTTAGCATATAATGTGCACTACGTTTGCATATTTATGAGATTTATAAGAATAAATGCCTTTTTTCTACAAGCAAAATTGTAAATATATCAGTGTTTTATAACAATAATGCTTTAGCACAGTTTAGTTTTTGCTGTGCAATAGGTAGGAAAAAATAAAAATTGAAAATTGAAAACATTAAGTTTGTAGTGAACAAACATGTCTTACTTGAACAGAGGCAGTTTAATTTAGTCACATTAGGAGTAGCAACAATGTGGGCATCAAGGTAACTTTAATCAAATGTTCAACTCTTCAATAGTGTTGTTATACGTGGGATTAGCAAATAGATGCCAGCTATATCAGCAGGTGCTGAGGAGCACCACATAGGAGGTCATGCTGTACCATAGACACAGGGTGGTAAGTGCAGATACAAAATGGCTGTCATGGGAGGCAGAGCCAACTACAGAATGGCTGCTACAGGTGGCGGAGCCAACTGCAGAATTTCAGGAAGTAAGATTATACATAACTAACAGTAACTGTTCAACATTTTGATTAGAACAGGGGTATCAAACATGTGGCCAGATGCGGCCCACAGATGGCTTAAATCTGGCCCCTGAGCAACTTCCGTCTCTTGCTGCCTTTCCTAGGGCTGCTACTGCAGCCACACCATAGGTTGCTTTTCCCCCAGCTCCCTTGTGGTTTTTTGCTTCCTGTTTCCTGCCTATTGCCTCCCGTCCCCCTCCCTTGCGCGCGCATGTTCTCTCTCTCTCTTCTCTCTTCTCTCTCTCTCTCTTCTCTCTCTCTCTTCTCTTCGTCTCTCTCTCTCTCTCTCTCTCTCTCTCTCTCTCTCTCTCACACACACACACACACACACACACACACACACACACACACACACACCCTCCATGGCTGCTTCCTGCTTCATGTGGGAGAGATACAAAGACAAGTCTCTGTTTCTCTTTCACACATGCACACACAGAGAGCTTCTGCTTCCTTTTCCGGGGCTGCTCCTCCTCCTCTTGGGGAGAGAGGGGAGAGAGAGAGAGAGAAAATGAAGTTGGAATCCCATTGCAGCTTCAAGACCAACAATGTTTATTCCAGGTATAAGCTTTTGTGTACAAGCATACTTCTAGGGAGGGAGTGGGTGGGTGGATTCTTCTGACAAGCACAGTGTACATTGAAGAAATTACTTCGTCTTATTCTGAAAAGTTTTTTGAAAAAATTGGATTTCTTTGTTCATATCTGGATTTATTTTTCCCCAAAAAGAGCCTGGTTAGGAATTAGAACACTTGGATTGGTCCTTATATCTTGGAGAGTGGAGTGATTTCAGATGCCAAATGATAATATCATGCATTGGTAATGAGACAGGAAAACTAGTTCTCAGTTCAGTCCAGGAGGAAGCATTGTCTCGAGCTTCATTATCAGTTGCAATTCAGCAGTCTCTCTTTCTAATCTCCCTTTGTAATTCCTTTGTAAGAGCACAACTACTCTTAGGTCAGCAACTGAATGTTGTGGTTTCCAATGTCAGATTTATGTCCATTTATTGTTTGCATCCTCCTGGGCTGAATCCTCCTGGGTGGAATTGAGACCTAGGTTTCCTGTCTCATTACCAACACTGGTATCTCCATGCCTACTACCCCTCTGCATATCACACCTAATCCAATCAAGCCTGCTATTGTTATTCACCTGCTATTGCCATTTGACATCTCAAATCACCTTGATAAAGTTTATATGTCTGGTACCCCATGTTACATTTTATGGCACACATGGCCTGGCCCAACAAAGTGACATTTATGTCAGATCCAGCCCTCGTAACAAATGAGTTTGACACCTCTGGACTAGAAACTGCTTAACAGGATGCCTTTTAAAAGGAACATTGTTTTAAAATACTTCCTGCATACACACAACATACGTTCAGTCATGAAGTAAAGATCTCATGCTGTGGTGCCAGCTGCTACCAAAGCAATGGGGTTTTTGCATCTGTACAACCAGTCAGAAGCCCTGCTAGGCAAAACCCCTGCTTAGCCCCCATCCTTTTTCTAAGAACTCTTGGGAGGGGGCTAGGAAAGGTATTGGTTGGTTACACATTAGGATCCCTGTTGTAGCACATGTGAGAAATTTTTGTCTCCGGAGCTGATTGGTAGTAAGCACAGGTAGAGGCTGGCTACTATGTCAAGACAATGTTTATAGACCCAAGGTCTAATATTTATATGAGTCTCAAAGAAAGGAAATGCAAGAAGGATTAAGTGGTAAGCAGCCCAGGCCTCATATGGGTTGAAGCAGGGAATGCACATCCAAGAAATAAGATCTAACTAAAGGGCTGATTCTCACTTTATGTTTTGGATTGAGACAGGAAAATAAAAAACCCCTTTGTCAAGTGTGAGCCGTGTGTGTAAAAGTGAAATACTGGACTTCATTACTCTTTTCTTTCTCTCTCCATTAGGTTATCATTGAAGTGACAGAGATGTTGCATAATGCCAGCTTACTTATAGATGACATAGAAGATAATTCAAAGCTTCGACGAGGTTTTCCAGTGGCCCACAGTATCTATGGAATACCATCTGTAATAAATTGTGCAAACTTTGTGTATTTCCTTGGCTTGGAGAAGGTTTTAACACTCGATCATGCAGATGCTGTAACAGTATTTACTCGCCAGCTGTTGGAACTCCATAAAGGCCAAGGCCTGGATATTTACTGGAGAGATACTTATACCTGTCCTACAGAAGCAGAATATAAAGCCATGGTTCTGCAAAAAACAGGAGGCCTTTTTGGACTAGCTGTGGGCCTCATGCAGTTGTTCTCTGACTACAAAAAAGATTTAAAACCACTTCTTAACACCCTTGGGCTCTTCTTTCAGATTAGAGATGACTATGCAAACTTGCACTCCAAAGAATATAGTGAGAATAAAAGTTTTTGTGAAGACTTAACAGAAGGGAAATTCTCATTCCCAACTATCCATGCCATATGGTCCAGGCCAGAAAGCACACAGGTGCAGAATATTCTACGACAGAGGACTGAAAATGTAGATGTAAAAAAATACTGTGTACATTATCTTGAGAATGTGGGTTCCTTTGAATATACACGGAAAACATTAAAAGAACTCGAGTCTGAAGCTTACAGACAGATTGAATCTCTTGGGGGAAATCCTGAACTTGTAGCATTAGTTGAACATTTAAGCAAAATGTTCAAGGAGAATGAAAACTGACACCAGTTGTCGGGCATGTTGCTGGAATCAAAAGTTTCATTTTATAATTTCTGCCACTGATACATAGGAACAGATCTCAAACATTGTAAGGGATAATGGGGTTTTGGATATATGATTATTTTTGGCTTAATTTCAGCTGCTCATGTAATACTGCATAGAGCTGCAAATTTAAATATAGGTACCAACTTTTACTCTAGAACTTCATTCTTAATCCATTTCTTTTTTTACTGTGGATTTATTTTTGTTTTGACCAAGACATGTATTCAGAAACTGATTACAAGAGGAGGACATGGAAGTTTCACCTTCAGTGTTTTATTAAATTTGCATGTATCCAGTTCTGGTTTGTCTAGATAAGTAGTCCTGAATGTTCTGATTCCCCCCCCCCCCTAGCTTTGGGCATTGGATTAATATATGCTTTAAAATTGTAATGTTCATCAAGATTGTGGTGGGAACCAGGTAAATCAGTCCAAGGCATAAACTGTAAAGGTAGCAGACACCAAGAACCACCCCCCATATAAAAATCTGATACCAGGTCTAAATGCCATGGCTTGGATGCAAAGATTCCACTAAGCGAGGGGTTGCTGGTTTTCTCCCTATCTGTAGCTTGCTGAAAAGAGCTTTGGGGTTTTAAGGGCCCCTTCCATAATGATTATTTTAGGGAGTATGAGAGGATTTGATGAAGGGGAAAAGCCAGTGATGTGTACCCTTTCTTATGCAGTATGATATTTGGATCTAAGCCCAGGATAAAAGGCAAGCTAGAAAGTTTTGCCAGTCTAAGGTGGTTTATTCAGATGTTTTCAAGCTAAAGGTGATCTCCTTGAAATGAAAAAATATTGAAGTAAAATTCCCCTGAGTCTTGCAGGTAAGGAATTCATAACTTCAGCATCTTTAAGGCAAAATGAATTCCAGGAGACTTCCTTGCATATTTATTTGTATTTTCCATAAGGCCTTTCCTCTTGGCTGAAGATAGAGATTGTAGGACACGATTAGCGGGGATGTCAGGTAAGCAGAGGCTGAGTCATACAGGATTTTCTATGTAGCTGAACTGGCTTTAAGCTTGGGGTATAAAATGCCTTTTGCCTTTTTTCCTTAAATCAGTTCAGTCTAGGTTTTACATGATTTTGATAAATGCTTTCAGACGTCTTGAATAGTAGGTGGAAATAAGAAGCAACTGCTCCCACCCCTGCATCTGCTTGCTAGGAACCAACAGAACCATTGGAGCAGCCTTGCCTTCAGATATTACTGCCTATTCCCACAAAAATGCCTTTGCCTGTCTTGTGTTTTTGTGAGCCTGAAGATATAAACCTGTTCATCGTATTTCTGTGCATCACCCAATATGTATTAGATGGACTGTCAAAAATACAATACAGGTCTAGAACACCAATATAATACAGGTGATCTGAGTTGCAAGTCCAAAATCAGATGCTTTTACCAAAGGGGTGGTGGTGGTCCTTAGTGGGTTCATATGCAAATAATCACTTTTCACATTCATAATTTCAGTTTGTAACCAGGGATGAGTGTGCACACAGATGCCCACAAGAATGAATTACAATTGGTTATGTAGGAGTCAAATAGCCCCTTACAGATGAATAAAGTGTGTTTCATCATAAGCTTTTGTGATACATGAAATGTACAAGCATGAGGCCTGATCCTGTATTGGGGAAGGGGGGAATGGACCAGTATCTGTCTTACTTTCCTGTTACCGTTTATTCAACCCAGTGCTCTTGAACGGCCACTGAGAGTTCGTTTAAGCAGTTAATGGAAAGCTACCTTCATAAAGATAGGGTTTATGCAGTTGCTTTAGAATGTTTCCCTATTTCTGCAACGGCAGCCAAAATCTAGCAACCATATATGTAACCCATCCATCTTCATTACTTTGTAGTTAAGTCTCAGCAGTTGGAAAAGCAGAATCATTTTAAAAATTCAGGGTATCTTAAAAGTAGGTGGTCAATGGATTCGGTGCAATTAAGGTTGCAATTAGCATGTTTTCTCTGAGTATGGAATACCAGCATATCTACCTGACAAACTGCAGATGGTAAAGTGTTAAGATGCGCCAGCATCTAGGTGTGCCTATAGGATATGTTAAATTGTAAAAATACATTTGGATACGAACTGGTAGGGGAGTGCCAACTGTGAAGGTTGAGCGAACTCTTCTTGACCTTACTGATGGACTTTTAGACCATCTGTCATAAGCAGTGTAATCCATGTTTTGGTGTGTGTGTATGTGTGTCTTTAAATGTTTAGTTTGATTGCAGTAATATGAGAAGAGTGATAGAGGGTGACAAGTGTGATTTGATTGGCTGATGACAGAGTGTGGGAGGAAGGGTGTCTGAGAGGAATCTGTGTGTCTATGAGGGAATTCTGTGTTTGGAGACAGACAAGTTTGGAAGAGTTTTGAAGAGTCTGTGACTATAGAAGTTTTGTGAGTCTATATGGCAAAGAAACAAGTAGTGTCTAAACCATGTGGTTAGACAAATGTTTTATCTCGTGTGCCCAAAACAAAGACATATGTAACCCATCCATCTTCATTACTTTGTAGTTAAGAAGTCTCAGCCGTTGGAAAAGCAGAATCATTTTTAAAAAACAGGGTATCTTAAAAGTAGGTGGTCAATGGATTCAGTGCAATTAAGGTTGCAATTATATAGCCTGTGTGGCTATATATATATATATATGTATGTGTGTGAGAGAGATATGCCTGTCAGAGTGGTCTAAGTGACTGTAACACCAAGTTTTGCCAGTTATATTTATTTAATGATTAATGTGATCTCTACCCCGCCCTCCCCGCGTGGGGTCAGGGCAGCTTACTACAATGGCACCAATTGCCAACAAAACAATATACAACAGTACAGTACTTAATAAAAATATAAAATCGTATAAAATCCTAAAGTACTAGTTGATTGTATAATTCATTACTTACAATGGCGCATTCAGGTATTTATTTATATTTTTTTATTTATACTTTAGATTTCTATACCGCTCCAAACCCTGAAGGGTCTCTGAGCGGTTTACACAGTTCCGAATTATCCCTAACTAAGGCCACATGTTTACAGGGGTCGGGGCTACCTACCGGCACCCAGGCGGAAGGGCTTGCTGTTCTCGGCTTGTTCCCGGGCGATCTTATTTTGGGCGTCGGTGTTCCGATGTTCCTGGCAGCTCCGGTGTCTGGCGAGGTCTTTTCGGTCCGGCAGCTTTCTTTCTAGGCGGGCTCCTCTAGTGCGTGGTACGTGTCGACTTACAGCCCAGCTAACGTCCGATCCGGCTCCGCTGTGCCTGCGCACGTCACCACGTCCTCCTATGGCTCCGCCTCCGTCTCTGCCTCCATCACTCCACTGCCTCGCTCCATCGATCCGATGCCTCGCCATTCCACCGTCACCGCCATTTTTTGCCAATGCCGCTGCCGCCGCTTTGATGCTCCTGCCACACCCCCCCATATGGGGGAGGGTGCCCCCTGCCACCTAAGGGCAGGTACCCATTAATCTACTCACAATATTTACTTGCGTTCGAACCGCTGGGTGGTTCTAGACAACTGCTAAGTTCCAGCTCTTTGTCGTCCCGCATCACTCAATGGAAATGAGCAGATGTTAAAAACCGAGGGCCGGGATCATTGATGGTAATAGTGGAGGGGCGGCTCCTAGTTGAAAGCCTGGTGGAAGAGCTCCGTCTTGCCGGCTCTGCGGAACTGCAAAAGGTCCTGCAGGGCCCTGATCTTCTTCGGGAGCTCATTCCACCAGTGAAGAGCCACCACTGAAAAAGCCCTGGCCGTCGTGGCGAGCCTGGCCTCCTTGGGGCCAGGGAGGATCAGCCGGTTATTTGACCCTGATCTCAGTGCTCTCTGGGGTATATATGGGGAAAGGTGATCCCTCAGCTACGTCGGACCCTGGCCATATAGGGCTTTAAAGGTAAGCACCAGCACCTTGAAATGGATTCGGTATGCTATTGGCAGCCAGTGCAGAGCCTTCAGCACAGGTCGGATGCGCTCCCATCTAGGTAAGCCCATCAGCAGCCTGGCCATGTCATTCTGTACTAGCTGCAGCTTTAGAATTTGCAATAAGGGCAGCCCCACATAGAGAGTGTTGCAGTAGTCTAGTCCTGAGGTGACTGTTGCATGGATCACTGTGGCCAGGTCATTGCGGTCGAGGAAGGGAACCAACTGCCTGATGAGCCGCAGATGGTAAAAGGCCGACTTGACAGTGGCTGCTACCTGGTCCTCCATTGTTAAGGAGGAGTCCAGGAGCATTCCTAACCTCCGGCACTGGCACCAATGGCGCCCCACCGAAGGTCGGGAGTGGGGTCCCCACCCTGACCCACGCACAGGACCTCTGTCTTTGCCGGATTCAGTTTCAGCCGGCTCAGCCTTAGCCAACCAGCCACAGCCTGTAATGCACTGTCGAGATCTTCAGGACTGGAGTTCAATTGGTCGCCCAACATCAGATAGAGCTGGGTGTCATCAGCATACTGATGACACCCCAGGCCATAACTTCGGGCTATCTGGGCAAGGGGGTGCATGTAGATGTTAAATAATATTGAGGATAGCACTGTCACTTGAGGAACTCCAGCGGGTGCCTCCGGGACTGTTGCTCCCTGAGTGCCACCCTTTGTCCCTGACCTTGGAGAAAGGAAGCAAGCCATTGCAAGGCAAGCCCCTGTATTCCCATGTCGGCAAGGCGGCGAAGCAGCAACCGATGGTTGACCATGTCGAACGCAGCCAACAGGTCCAACAACATCAGTACCGCCAAGCTGCCCCGATCCAGATGCCTCCGGAAATAGAGCGCCCAGTACTGTCTCTGTCCCGTGTCCCGTGTGGAAGCCGGACTGGAAGGGGTCTAACATGGAAGTGTAATCCATAAAGCCCTGTAACTGTATCACCAGCCAATTAGCCAATCCGGCCGGGTCCAAACATGGTTTTTTTAGAAGTGGACGGACCATCACTTCCTTGAGTGCCCCCGGGAACAGCCCCTCTAAGAGGGACTGGTTGATAATTTCCCTCAGGGCACCTCGAAATCCCTCATGGTTCACTTTAATGAGCCAGGAATAGCATGGGTCAAGGCCGCATGTGGTTGGGCATACAGTCAAGAGCAATCTGTCAACTTCCTCCAGGCTGAGTAGGCTGAAATGAGCCAAACCCGAAACTGAAGACGTGCTTGGGGCCTCGAGCTCACTCACTGTTTCAACTATGGCGGGGAGGTCGCGGCGGAGTGACAAGACTTTATCCGCAAAGTAGCTCACAAATGCCTCACAGCCGATATCCAATTCCTTAGCGTTTGGACTGCTGTGTGGCAGTGTTGTCATGGACCGAATCGTTGTAAGCAATTGTGCTGGGCGTGAGCTCGCTGATGCAATCTCCACCGTGTAGTAATCTCTCTTCGCAGCTTTGACTGCCATCTCATAAACATCCTATAGGATGTTGTTGTAGCTTCGTCACGAGTGTGAAGCCACCGTCTCTCTAGCCGTCTCAGCTCTCACTTCATAAGCCGTAACTCCTGGGTAAACCAAGGAGCAAGCCTGGAGGGAGGGCGCCAGGGAGCGATCTCATCAATGGCTGCGGAGAG